ATTCCCAAGTCGCAGTTTGTGACAAAGGGAGATCATGCTTTTGCTGGTAGAGCCCCCACACTCTGAAATGCTCTGCCTATTGAACTAAGGCACGCTAAGTCCCTTGCCTCTTTTAAATCTCATCTTTAAACGTTTCTCTTTGTAAAAAGCTTTTGGGAATGTTTGACTGCTTTTATTTTATACTGTTTTAATTAGTTTGTTTGTAATCTGTTTTTTTTTTTTGCTTGTGTATCATGTGTGTCTTTTAGTCACCTGCCATGTCTGTTTTTACCTTATTTGGTTTTATCTCTTCTTGTTAAGCACTTTGTAACATTGTTCAGAAAAGTGCGATATAAATTACGTTTATTATTATTATATTATTATTATAGAGCATCAAATGTTGATTAATCCACCACTGAAAACCGTGCCTAATAAAAGAACTCATTTGAGCAACATTTGTTAAAAACTACAGTGACCAGCTGTTTTAGGAAATGACTGAGGCTATGTATTTGTGAACTTTTTTTAAAGATTTACATCTTCAGTAGGCTTCGAGCTGTGTGTCACAGACAAGGGAGGGAAGTCCGAAAGTACTGAGAGACACAGTAACAAATGGATGGTTTAGTCACTGGGTCACTGAAATCATTTGGGATCATCCTCTTGTGACCATGAATATTTTAAGGCAGTCTGACTGCTGGCTTTGAAACAACTGTCGGATAGATGATTTAACTGATGACAACTGACTGACTAAAGTCAACCGGCCCTGCCACTAGGACAAACAAACTGAGCAATGTCACATATCATCACTTTATTAGACCCACATAGAAAATAGCTGAAAATGCAATTGCAGACCCCATATCCCATCTTCTTTTTTGTAATTAAAATTTTTTATTACATTTCTAACATGAAAATCATTTAAAAAGTAGCACAACAATCAAAAACAAAAACAAACAGGCAGGGAGTCTAGCAAATATTGTCAGGCATTAGGCAAATAAATGAAAGGCTGATTTACAAGTGTACTATACTGCATTATCAGTGTCTTTACATGATCAGATTGTTCTCTCCAGACATATATCTGCTGAAACTATCCCATTGTTCATTAACTATATCATTTTTCCAATTAAATCTTCTGAGCATCTTTTCACACGCAGTTGTTTACATCATTTGAATTATCCACACATTCATTGTAGGTGTTTGAGGCTCCTTCCAAAACCTTAGAACCATCCAAGCACAGGTTATAAGGCCAGTTTTCAATATTCTAAATACAAATTTATTTAAAACTATAGTGCGTAACTTCTGTCGCCCCCCAGCGGATAATGCGTTATTACAACAAATAAGCCGGCACTTCCATGTACACAGAGTAACACTCACTTCACACCGTGTACACAGTGCTACACAACGCTACACAACGCTACACAAAGTGGCGAACACCAGGCTGCTAACAATACATTACGTTCATAGCACCATTTCCAAGAAAATAATAAAGTACTAGATCCAGTACATGTAACAGCAGCACATACTACTCATAATATAATTCTAAACCAAGTCACTTACTTATTCAACAGCAGCAAGGCAACATCCGTGTCTGCCCTCAGCCCAATTTCTTCCTTCAGGGCTCTCCACCGAGGAAAAGCGACGCCAATACAAATCCTTGTTTGCCTTCTCCGTCGGTCACTTTCCTTCTTTGCTAAAAGACCTTCAGCCAAACGTCCAGGCTTTATCTTTGTGGTAAGATCCACTTCTGAACCGTGTCTCGGCCGCTTCTTTGGGTTCTCCGCCATGTTGCTTTCTCTTTCTACCTGCGCCAAAGAGCATGGATACCAAGAGGCGAAGCTCAATAGAACGCCCCATAGCAACAAATTCCCCCATGGTTTCGTCCTACCGCCGCCATTTTGGACCATCAGCAGACCGCAGCAGACCCGCTTGCATACAAAAACACACAGACAAACTGAAGTATATCGCTATTAATTATGCTTACAATGCTACTCACCTCGTGATAGCTTGGTCACAGCTGCTTTTTCACATTTTTGTAAAGCAAAATATAGACTTTAAAAAAACACAAAATGAGGAAAAACTGCCGAGATGGCATCTCTACATATTACATCCACTTATGAGAAGATTAACTTAATTACTCCTTCAAAATCACCCCATAAGCCAATCTACCAAAAAAATAATAATAATAATAATAATAAAAAAAAAAAAATCAATATTTTAATTAGAAACACATTAATGGCGACGTCACATAGTCAGGAATAAAGATTTATTTACAGTTTGTACAGTAAGGGGACAGTAATAATAATAATAATATATAAGCTATTTTAATATGATATATTTTAATGCTAAAGCAGTAATCAGTTGTGATATAAATGGTCCAAGAGGCCATATATAGGCCTATATATACATATATACATATACAGTATCTTCCCACGAAAACTGGCATATTAAATTGATATTAAAACACTTTAAAACGTACACCTCTGTCAGGATCCTTCGGGAAACGGTGGAAGGCCAGGTGCAGAGTGTTCCACCGCTAGTTGTTGCAGTTAATTGCACTACACTGTTTTCTTTTACTTTTTTCTCCTCTCTCCTTGACATCTTACATGTTGTCTGGGCGCAACAGTCCAAGCTCAACAGTCCAAAATGGCGTTAGCGCCTCTAGGGGCTGTTGGCAGAAATTCAGCGGAGCTTCGCCTCTTGGTATCCATGCTCTTTGCCTGCGCTCTACCTCTTGCTATGAGAATCTCCGCTCTTCCTCCCCCTGCCCTTCATTTCCTGTGCGCCAGCGCAGGAATGTCGCTGGTCGACACGCAAACTAAAAATGATATATATTGAAAAATACTGCGAGATGTTAGAGGAGCCGATCGGCTTAATCAGCATTGTGTCATCTCCTCTAGTAGTGGCTTGGCTGAAACGGACATTTACGGACATGAAGAAGTTACGCACTATGGGTCTCATTCATGAAACGTGAGCAGAAGGAATTTGTGTGTAAACTGTTCGCAGACGGAAATTTACGTGCATGTCCGCATTCATCAATATTTTAGTAGCTCCGATCTTTTCGTAGCTACTAACAAAATCTACTCCTGCTCCTGACCACTCGTAGTGCATGTGTAAATGTAGTAAAGCACATAAATATTGCTTGTCACTACTGGAAATTACAATTTTAATTCGTATTGTGCTCTGTGATGTACACAATACACAGATGCCTTTGAAACACGTAATCTAAACATGACAAAATATTAAAAATATAACACATTTAGTTAAATTAGTTGGTAATTAGCAGGTTTAAGATCCAGATTAGGTTCATGATTGTGAATTATCTATGTAAATCGACTCAATAGATTACACGTTCTTTCTACATGTTGAATGATGATAATAAAAATATCCATAAGGACAGCCGGATCACAGCCTCTTCGGCCTTCAGCCGTTCCCACTTCATTCAAAACCCCACAAATGAATCTTCTGTTTGTTTGGTGACCGCTGTATTTTTTGTGTGTGCTTATAGGCCATAAGGTGAACGCAGTTATCGTTTCATCTCGTTCCGACATCTTTACTTCATAAAAAACATCGATACATGTTCAGCTAATCAGCGGGAGTTCGTAGCTCATAACCCCGCAAGAGTCCTGTGATCGGGGTCATAATTCGGCACTTGTTCCGTCTGAGCGTAATGATCTGTTCCGCCTGAGCGTTATTCGCTGGGTCGGTGGTGAAGTGGCGCACATGACTCGTGCTACGGACGGACGGACAGACAGACAGCTACGTATCTTAAACAGGTAATACATCTGGCTACATCTTTCCCACATCAAATATCCGTGATCACCTACACCCGCGTGCATAAAAGCGCACACAATTCCGTGTCCTCTCACCACGGATGCTGTGATTTGATGGCCCGGTACTCAATGTAGCCCACTCTTAGATGTCGGAGCGGAAATCAGTTTCTGTGAGACTTTTTCTGATTCATCTTACGGCCTATTATGCGTTTCTTTGCCTCCAGTTTCATATCAAACCATTTACGCTTCACATCTGACATGGTTCTTTGTACCACGGAGACAACATTAACAGCATCTGTTACCTCCCTCCAGGCCTTCGCTTTGCCTGTCACACCACTACTAACTGAAGAAAATAAAATGTTTTTTCTTAAGTCCACTTCACCCAAAATTATTTCGATCTCCGCTTCGGAAAAGTTCTTTTTTCTTTCTCTCTCTTTCTTTCTTTGCGCCATGACTGACTGGATGCACCTACACCTCCTTATATGGTGGTCATTGGCTATTCATGGGCGGGGATTTATACTAATTGCTGATTACCGGGAGCGTGCTGTCACTTTACAATGGATTGGCATTCATGATCATACACACATGTTTACGATCAAATCTGAGTTTCCCGCGGCGTTCCTGAATCCGGAGTAGGTTTTTAGTAGAGTAGGCTTTAAGTTCGGCACTACAGTTTTGTCACCTAAGAGCTTTGGTCTTGGCAAACTGGGCAGTTCACATTCTAACTATTTACCAATACAATCCAGAATGTTCACAGGGGAGAAAGACATTTCCATAATGCATGCATATATGTGCCACTTTATTTTTCTGCATTTCCAATATAGATCCTCTTTGAGTAGGCCTGCTCTTTTCAGCCTCATTGGAGTGTGATAATATGTGAATTATTTTACATTGAATAAATTTGCCTCTGGCTTCTCTGATATATTCCCTAGTACTGGAAAGAATCCCCTCCCATGTTTTTTTCATCCAATTTACAACACAGGTCTCTCTCCCATATCATCCTTAGATTGCCACAACCATTGTTTTTTATCCAAGGACATATTTCATACCACTGCGATGCTTTGTGGAACATTGTTGGCAACTGTATGTAGCACTCTATTAGAATTTTATCTTGATGGATGGGAACTTTCCTGTTAATACAGTCATATCCCCTCTTCTTATGATGAATGAGTCTATGTAGCCTACTGTTCTTTTGTAGTGTTTTGTTTTTTTGTCCTTCATTCAACTCCAACTTTGTTGTCTTCTCCCTGCATTCAGAATCTGTCCATTGACACCGACCTCCACGCAGCCAATGGGAAGCGTGTGAAAGCTCTGGATATCTTTGCATATGCACTGGCCTTCTTCAAAGAGCAAGCACTTAAGGTAACATACTTTTGTCAGCACCCATGCATCTTCTGGTGTATTACATACACAGTGCATTTTTAATTTTGTTTATTTTATATGAACTTGGGCTCAAGCCAGCATGCATCTTGAAGCCAGTGTTCACTTTGTTACAGTTACTTATTTTAAATATACCTGTATTAAAAAATGCCTAATCTGACTAGTCTAGGTGGTACTTAATGACTTAATGAATAGTTCAGGGTAGAGTTCTCAATTTCAACCTGAGCCCGAGCCCGACCCGAATAAGCCCGACGGGTTGGGTCGGTTTGGGCCGACTAATTAAGTTAATTGGGACGGGCTGAGTCGGGCTCGGACAGCGGAGAGAGAGAGAGAGAGAGAGAGAGAGAGAGAGAAAAGTGTGTCTGTCAGAGAAGCGCTCTATGTGAGGGTGTGACAGCAGCACTAACACACAATGCTGCTGTCCATGGTTCTCACTTCTGAGCAGCCTGTGAGGAAGAAAATATGCATGTCTGTTAAGATTATTCTAAATCCATTTATTATTCAATGTTATGCTGTTGATATTTGAAGGTAATAGTTACCGTTTTTGATAAAGTGTTCGAGTTGAAGTTGAAGTATCATCTGCTGTGTGTGTGTGTAAGGGGGATGATAATAGGGCTATAATAATTAAGCAAGAAGAATATGCGAATTATAAAAATAAAGAATGCTGAATTCTGTTCTGACGGAAAAAAAAATAATACTAAAACAAGATATGCTGCTGTGAAATGTGAGCGAAATTCAGTCAGTCAGTCAGCGTTCAGGTGCAGGAAAAGTGTTGAGAGCGGCTGCGGCTCATTAAATGCAGCGGCGCAGTGCTACATGATGCGCAATGGTTGCTCTCCCTCACACTGACGTTGAAGCCTGTCTGTCTGGTAATATTATTTTGGGACATGAATGATTGGTTGTCTTTAAGCGATTAAAGATACTGTATTTGAGCCAGGGAAGCCAGACTGTTGAGGCGCACAGGGGGAGCATCATTTTTCCCCCTTCCATTTAAGAAAAAAAAAAAAAAACTCGGGTTCAGTCGGGCTCGGACCCAGTGATGTATGTGATGATGTCGGGCCGGGCCGGTTTCGGGCTTCAAGTCCCTAGGGTCATTTAGGTTTCGGGTTGAATTTTTGGGCCTGTTGAGAACTCTAGTTCAGGGAACATCTGATGTACTGAAAGTAGCAAAGGACCTGACCCAGTAATTCTTGTTTATGAATTTTAGAACATTTTAGCCCATTGTTCTGAAGCTACAGTGTGACACCAACCCTGCTATGACTTTTGACCAGTTGGTTCTGTTTCAATTTTTCCAGGAGCTGAGTGATCAGACAGGCGGTGAGTTTGACAACAATGATGTGAGATGGGTGATCACTGTTCCTGCCATTTGGAAAATGCCTGCAAAGCAGTTCATGAGGGAAGCTGCCTATAAGGTAGGCTGAGAAGCTTCACTGACATTTGTACACTTGACATGTGTTTCTGGTCTTGTACCCCTTGTCTGTTTGCAAATGTCTGATTCTATATCTTGAAGAAAATTGTATCCATATACCAAGAATGGCTGAAGACAGAATCTAACATGATTGTAAGCTTAAGTGGTGTTTAACACCAAGCAACAATTCTCTGGCTCCTCTCTCTTTCTCAAACAGTGAAAACAGTGCAGCTTCATTGGACTTCAAAAGGAGTTGAAGAACATGAAGTCTGTCATTCTAAAACAAGCCTCATTCCTCACCAGCAGCTATTAGAACACTGAATGACAGCTGCTCTGAAGCTAATGTTTTGTATTTGTCTGTGACCTTTATGACACATTCTTGGCTCTTGACTACATGGTTGTGTCACTCTATACAACTATACTATTATACATGCTTACCAGTTACTTTTACATGAATTAATATGTCAATGAGATGATATGAATACTGCATGAGATCCCAAATCATGTTCTTAAACTATTATTTAATGAAATTAACAAGAAATGCATAAAGATATGAGACTTATTCCAGATAATATTAAATGTGAAAATTGGATCAGGCAATCCTAGCCAGTGAGTCCCACTTTGCCAACATGTCCCAGTATGCATTATGCGTGAAAGCCACAATGTGTAGGAATTTCTCCCATCTAACGTTGAAATCATATATTGCATTCAAACGGATAGCGCACTCTAGCGCCTCACTGTTTCAAACGGTAGCCGCTGTGTACCAAAAAGCTATGATAACACTGATGAAACCATGTCATCCGATACTTCATGGAGTATTCATTCAGGCTCCTACACAGACACGCGACGCAAGTTGACAAACCCCCTCCTCACCATGCTGGCTGTGTTTACAATGTAGGACTGTTGGGGCAGGTTTAAATCTAAACAAACCAATCACGTCTTGTCTTTTGACAACTGACAAGTGGCTCAACCTCACACACCTCATCCCTCTCCTCGCATAACTGCGCCGCTGACAGCTGTTAGTCACTGTTAGTGGTGCCACTACTACCCTGGCACTACTACAGCTGCCGAACAAAGCAAAGAAGCCAGCACTCACAAATGTCCTTTTGGTAAATTTAATAAACCAACTTGGGTGGCGTTACCAGAAACACAGACGTTTCGACAGAAAGTCTTCTTCAGTGTGTGACACACTGAAGAAGACTGGCTTCTTTTCTTTGTTCTGCTGCTTTTGGCCGTGCACCTGTTGAGTGGATTTATTTTGAGAGTGCTTGCTTCTTTCCTACGTGATTTTACTACTACAGCTGCCACCAGCAAATTTCCTTTCTCCTTTAGCAGCTCTCTCCACCTGGGAAAGGCTAACCCGATGTTGACCCTCGTTTTTCAGATTCACCGGTCATGTTGCCTTTTTGATTCCCTTTTGCACTTTCTTGGGTTTCCCCTGACCACAAAACTGAAAACCAGATTGATCATATATGCATCAGAAAGAAGTTCAGGAGATCCCTCCAAGATGTCAGGGTGAAAAGAGGAGCTGATGCAGCCACAGACCACCACCTTCTAATAGGGACGCTATGTTTAAAACTCAAGAAATTCACAAACCCGGCAAGAAAAGTCAGCACCAGATACAATGTCAGCCTTCTCCAGGGTCAGAACATCAGAGAGAAATTCCAAATCACCCTCTCAAACCGGTTCCACCCCCTGAGCCAACTGGAAGAAGAACACCAAACCGTGGAGCAACGATGGCAGAACATGAAGAGGGCTTGGATAGAGGCATGTGAGGACACATGCGGGAGAAGGACAAGGCAACACAAGGAGTGGATCACAGGAGAAGCTCTACAGAAAATACAAATGCGCAAACAGGCCAAAGACACTCTCAACAATAGCCGCACAAGAACTGCAAAAGCAAAAGCACAACAAGATTACACAATGGCAGACAAACTGGTTAAAAAGAACATCAAGAAAAGATAAAACCTCAATACCCCTCTTTTCTGTCTTTTTCCCCCTTCTTTTTAAGATTCTCATATGTACAGTACAGGCCAAAAGTTTGGACACACCTTCTCATTCAATGCGTTTTCTTTATTTTCATGACTATTTACATTGTAGATTCTCACTGTAGGCATCAAAACTATGAATGAACACATGTGGAGTTATGTACTTAACAAAAAAAGGTGAAATAACTGAAAACATTTTTATATTCTAGTTTCTTCAAAATAGCCACCCTTTGCTCTGATTACTGCTTTGCACACTCTTGGCATTCTCTCGATGAGCTTCAAGAGGTAGTCACCTGAAATGGTTTCCACTTCACAGGTGTGCCTTATCAGGGTTAATTAGTGGAATTTCTTGCTTTATCAATGGGGTTGGGACCATCAGTTGTGTTGTGCAGAAGTCAGGTTAATACACAGCCGACAGCCCTATTGGACAACTGTTAAAATTCATATTATGGCAAGAACCAATCAGCTAACTAAAGAAAAACGAGTGGCCATCATTACTTTAAGAAATGAAGGTCAGTCAGTC